GTATGAGAAACGGGGTGGGAAGCTGGCGAAGGGCCTGCCCCAGCCCGCCCGCAGCTCCGGAGCCTGCTGATGTCCCCCCCTCCACGGGAGAAGCGGGGATGCTGCAGCACCTGCGTGCCCCCAGCAGCGCATCTTCCCCGGCAGGGCTCCCTGAGGATGGGTGTCCTTGCGGAGAAGTGGGCGGATGGGGGCTGGGTTTGAGCCACCTGCCCTGGGGTTGTGGCTGTGTTTGGGGTGCAAAACCGTTGCCGGGATGCCGGAGCTTTGCCGCGTCTCGCTCTTCTGATTTGGTGCCTCGTCTCTTGTCCCGTAGGTTTGTGTATGAGAACAATAACATGTCTTCTCCTAAAGTCTACGTCTTGCAGCCTTGGATTGTGAACCTCTTGGTGAATTATGAGCAGCTGGATGCCAACGAGAATCTCCTGGCCGGGCAGGTCCTGCGGGTAGGTACTGAGCGGGACTGTCCTGAATTGCTCCAAGAGTGTTTGACATCCAAATTCCGGGAAGCGTTCAGCAGTTCCCAATTCGGTGGCTGTGGGTGGGCGACCCTTCCTCTTCAAAGTTCCCGATATATATATTTTTTTTTGAGGTGGAGGAACTTTGCCCATTTCTGGTTGCGTTGGCTGACTTTTGCACCCCTGGTAGGTGTGCGCCCTGCTCTCGTCCAAAGAGTTTGCAGTCTCCAAAGTCGTGTTTTCTCCTAGCCTTGCACTCGCAGGCTGCCTCGCCTTCCTCCTCCTCCTCTCTGCGTCCCGTCCTTCCTTGTACCATGTCATTTGATGGGTGGTCCTGACAGCGGGTAACATGAGGCAGAAGCAGGACCCGCTGAGGTGTCTGGAGCCTCGTCTTGTCTGGTGGTGAGCCTTGGTGGGCCTCCATCCTCCCACAGATGCTGGCTCTTCTGGGAGAGCCTCTTGCGTGGTGACTCAGGGCACGGGGCTCTGAGGCGCAAAACCTGCTCCTGCGTAGTTCCTGGAGAGCTTTTTGTGCAGCGCTGGCGATGTCTTTGACATTTGATCTATCCTACGTGGCAGGAGAGAGCTTTAGTGAGGGGACTCCTGCTTGTTTGAGGCCCGATGGGCAGCGGGAAGGAAGCAGGAGGAAAACAACCAAGCGGAGTCAGTGCTGCTGATCATTAGCTGGGGACTTGGGGGGACTGGATGAAGATGCTGCGAGACAACTGGGTGCACAAGCAGACGTGAGACCCTCATGAGCAGGGAGTGGTTCCTGCCTTGTGACGGGTTGTGGTCATGACCTGCCTGCTGGAGAGACCCAGCTCCAGTGCTCTGGTTTGCTGTTCTCTCACGCTCTTTGGGTGCTTGCAGCAGCATCCCACCACGGACAACATTATTGTTAGCAATCTCCTAACGTCTTCTGGGGATGAGGTATTTGAGGCAAATCGGGTATCTCCTTACTAACGGGAGGAGGAAGGAGAAAGATGGATGTTGTGATTTAAATGGAAGGAGAGATGAGATGGGGAGAAAAAAAATGACAGCGGGAGAGAGGAGACCCTGCGGTCCTGTTTCCCATCCCGTCTGGAGACGTGGAGGTGGTGAAATCGCTGGTTCCCTACTTCTTGGCCCAGTCCCCTCTTCCAGACAGGAGATCTCTTGCACCTGGGCTGATGAAGACCCAGCAGGGAATGAGCGGATCCCCCCTAGGGCTCGAGGGATTCGTGGGGAGAGTTCCCTCAGTGTGACTACTCTCCAACCTACCCCCGCCCGAGTCCTCCA